AGGCCTTGGTGATGAACTGACATAATTTGATATAATCAGGTTTATATCTACCATCTTGCTGTTTGTCTATTTGGCCCGTAAGTTTTATTCTCCATTTCTTATCTTCCTTTGGAATATCCAGATACTTTTAATTTGCCATTATTTTCTTTATTTACTTGTTGTTGTTCAGTCACTAAGTCCTGTCTGACTCTTTGAGACCTCATGGACTGCAGCACGCCAGGCTTCCCTGTTCTTTACCATCTCCTGGAGTTTGCTCAGACTCATGTCCATTGAGTCGTGACTTATTGGCTATACGTTATTTTTACAAGATATTATATATTGGTTATTATAGATTATTGGTTATACATTAACTTGTATATTGGTTATTACGTATGTTATTTATAAATTTTAATGACTACACTAGGGATGAAAACATTCAAACTGGACTTATTTAATCTGATATATATTATTGATTTTACCATTTTCCTTTTTTCTAGTAACATCAATAGTCATCTGTGGGTTTAGTTCTTTTGTCTTTTTCCACTTAATGCTGGATATTTTCTTGCTTCGTTGCATATAAATTGATTGTGTGCCAAATGACACGAATAAAAATGTAGGTAGATCCCCCAGCAGAGAAGGTTCCCCCTCTCTTCTCTTGTTGTTTAGTCGCTAAGGAGAGGGAACGAGGGCTTGTCAGGGTTTGAGGAAGATTGAAGCCAGGTCGCAGTTTGCCTGCGTCCCATTTTCTCGGAAGGAACCATTCTGTCCTTTACGTCGGGGGTTCCCAACCTCCATAATCTGCTGTCTGATCTGAGGTGGAGCTGATGTAATCATAATAGAAATAAACTGCACAATAAATGCAACACGCTTGAATCATCCTGAAACTGTCAAACCCCTGTCCCTGGTCGTGGAAACATTGTCTTCTACAAAACTGGTCCCTGGTGCCAAAAAGGTTGGGGTCCGCTGCTTTACAGAAAGAGCCGTGCTAGATTCCATCTGCAGCCCTGAAGGCCGGAGGAGATCCGGTGCTGTCGGCTCCTCCCAGCTTTTCTCTGCAGCCCCAGCTCCTCCTGCTCTGCAGCTCCTAACACACCTGGAAGGAGATCCTCCTACCCCAGGGCTAGTGTTATCCCCTTTGTTTTAGAGCAGCCATCACAGATGAATCCCCAGCAGAATTCTTGTTTGTGATCTATTTATTAAATTTTTTTTGTTAAGGTATGATTGACATGTAAAAGTCCAAACGTATTTAATATATACAACTTGATGGGTTCTGGGCTAGGTATAAACCTGTGAAACCCACCATCAAGTCCATACACAGGTATCACTTTCCAAAGTTTTCTCTTGCCCTCTTAATTATTATTATACTATCATCTTCATCATTATTTGGGGAGGATAAGAATAATTTGATAAAGTGTACATTCTTAGGAGATTTTAAGCACACCATGTAGTTTTGTTAGTTACTGTGCACTGAACACAGAGGTGTCTCCTCAAGATCCTAATCTGGAATTTTTTTTTGCATAAATACCCAGAAGTGGAATAGCTGGATCATATAATAGTCCTGTTTTTAATTTTTTGAGGAACCTCCACTCTGGTGTTCATTGCTATAAACTTGTCTTTTTTTTTTTTTCCCATTTATTTTTACTAGTTGAAGTTTAATTACTTTACAATATTGTAGTGGGTTTTGTCATACATTGACATGAATCAGCTATGGATTTACATGTGTTTCCCATCCCGATCCCCCCTCCCACCTCCCTCTCCACCCGATCCCTCTGGGTCTTCCCAGTGCACCAGCCTTGAGCACTTGTCTCATGCATCCAACCTGGGCTGGTGATGTTTCACCATAGATAATATACATGTTTCGATGCTGTTCTCTTGAAACATCCCACCCTTGTCTTCTCCCACAGAGTCCAAAAGTCTGTTCTGTACATCTGTGTCTCTTTTTCTGTTTTGCATATAGGGTTATCATTACCATCTTTCTAAATTCCATATATATGTGTTAGTATACTGTAGTGTTCTTTATCTTTCTGGCTTACTTCACTCTGTATAATGGGCTCCAGTTTCATCCATCTCATTAGAACTGATTCAAATGAATTCTTTTTAATGGCTGAGTAATATTCCATGGTGTATATGTACCACAGCTTTCTTATCCATTTGTCTACTGATGGGTGTCTAGGTTGCCTCCATGTCCTGGCTCTTATAAACAGTGCTGCAATGAACATTGGGGTGCATGTGTCTCTTTCAGATCTGGTTTCCTTGGTGTGTATGCCCAGAAGTGGGATTAAACCCTCTTACACTGTTGGTGGGAATGCAAACTAGTACGGCTGCTATGGAAAACAGTGTGGAGGTTTCTTAAAAAACTGGAAATAGAACTGCCATATGACTAAACTTGTCTTTTAGAACAGCTTTTGCTGCATCCCATAAGTTTTCATGTGTTGTGCTTCTAGTTTTGTTTGTCTCAAGATATTTTTTGACTTTGGATGTTTTTTTTTGACCCATATGCTGTTCTGGAGTATGTGGTTTAATTTTCACAAATTTGTGAACTTTCCACTTTTCCTCTTGTTATTTATTTCTAGTTTCTCAGCAAGTTGGTCAGAAAGGATACTTGATATGTTTTCAATTGTAAATTTAAGACTTGTTTTGTGGCCTAACATATATGATCTGTCTTGGAGAATATACTGTGTTGAACTTGTGAAGAACGTGGATTCTGCTGCTTTGGATAAAATGTCTTTTATATGTCAGTTAGGTTCATTTGTCAAGGCTACGGTTTTTCCAGTGGTCATGTATGGATGTGAGAGTTGGATTGTGAAGAAAGCTGAGTGCCGAAAAATTGATGCTTTTGAACTATGGTGTTGGAGAAGACTCTTGAGAGTCCCTTTTACTACAAGGAGATCCAACCAGTCCATCCTAAAGGAGATCAGTCCTGGGTGTTCATTGGAAGGACTGATGCTGAGGCGGAAACTCCAATACTTTGGCCACCTAATGAGGAGAGCTGACTCGTTGGAAAAGACCCTGATGATGGGAGGGATTGGGGGCAGGAGGAGAAGGTGACAACAGAGGATGAGATGGCTGGATGGCATCACTGACTCAATGGGCATGAGTTTGAGTAAACTCCGGGAGTTTGTGATGGACAGGGAGGCCTGGCGTGCTGCAATTCACGGGGTTGCAAAGAGTCAGATACGACTGAGCAACTGAACTGAACTGAGGTTCATTTGGTCTATAGTGTTGTTCAAGTCCTCTTTTTCCTTATTGATTTTGTGTCTGATCTATTCATTGTTGAAAGTGGGGGTAGTGGTCCCTTACTGTTACTGTATTGCTATGTAGTTCTCTCTTCATTTCTGTTCATATTTACTTCATACATTTAGGTGCTCCTACACTGGGTACATATACAGTTACAGTTGTTATGTCCTCTTGCTGAATTGACCCCTTTTTCATTATATAATGACCTTCTTTGTCTCTTGTGACAGATTTTGACTTAAACTCTGTTTGTCTGCTACAAGTATAACCTCCTCTCTTCTGGTTATCGTTCATGTTGAATATCTTTATCCACCTCTTTGCTTTCATCCTAGGTGTGTCCTGAAGCTAAAGTCAGTCCTTTATAGACACATACAGTTGGATCTTATTTTTAAAATCCATTCAGCCACTCTGCTTTTTGATTGGAGAATTTAATCGATTTGCGTTTAAAGTAATTACTGATGGGTAAGGGGTTAGTTGGAGAAGGCAATGGCACCCCACTCCAGTACTCTTGCCTGGAAAATCCCATGGACGGAGGAGCCTGGTAGGCTGCGATCCATGGGGTCGCTAAGAGTTGGACACGACTGAGCAACTTCACTTTCACTTTTCACTTTCATGCATTGGAGAAGGAAATGGCAACCCACTCCAGTGTTCTTGCCTGGAGAATCCCAGGGACGGGGGAGCCTGGTGGGCTGCCGTCTATGGGGTCGCACAGAGTCGGACACGACTGAAGTGACTTAGCAGCAGCAGCAGCAGCAGCAGCAAGGGGTTAGTGTTGCCATTTTATTAATTATTTTCTGACTATTTGGTAGTTCTTCTGTTCCTTTCTAACCTCCTTGCTGTCTTCCTTTGTGATCTGAGGATTTTTTTTTTTCTTGTGGTATGCTTTTATTCCTGTCTTGATGTTTTGTATACCTCCTACAGGTTTTTCCCTTGTGATTTTCCATGAAGCTTACTCAAATCATAACAGTCTATTTTAAGCTTATAATACTTTTTTAAGGATATAAATAATTTATAAACCATAGAGAAAATCCTCAAATATCTTAAACCTCCTCTCTTCCTTCTTAAAGGAGTCAAAGAGGTCAGTGTAATAGCTAGTTGGTCATCTAAGCTGGAATTTGGAGGCCCCAGGCTCTCAGGTCAAGGTGGCTGGAACTATCTAACACCTCTTGTGGACTCAGAATGATTATTTCTGAGCCTAGATATGAGCTAATCCCTGGTCTTCTCCATCTTCATCATAAAGAGGTTTCCTCACCTTTGCTCTAAATCATGAGAGTTTTGCCCTTGATGAAAAGATGTCATTAGAGGCTTTTTGGTAGCTGCTCCATTTCTTGCCAACCTTAAAAGTTCTTCCTAAAAAGACAGCTTCTTATTTAGGATGGCAAACTGAGGATATGTGTTTCTCTCTTCTCGTTGCTTCATTAAACTAACAGCCAACAAATAATAAAAATTCAAATCAAAGTGAAGATAATAGGGTGGAGGTATCAATAGATGAGATGTGTCAATTACTTTTGCAAGTTGGGAAGATAAGAGAGGAAGAATTTGCAACCCAAGGTGCGAAAATGCAGTGATATAGTGAGTCTTCTGCCATGGCAACCTCCCCAAGTTGTGATCTTGTTGGTAGGTAGAGAAGGGGTGCTGAAGTTACAGTGTTTACTAAGAGTCTGCCTATAAAAGCCTGTGCCCACTGTCTTCTTACTCCCTCTCTTATGTCTCCATTTGAGAGCAGGTGGCTGGAATTTACCTCCTGAATAAAAGCTGGGAGGTTTTTTTCCCTAAAGAACTTGAACATGCAAGGAAAACTGGGGGCTCCCAGCACGTGTGCTGGTGCTTTTCAGTTATGTTTTGCATCATTCCTTCTAAAATCTTGTTAATGGATAAACTCTGCTATATATACAGAGTTTTTTACTCAGAATTTCTGTTTGGGAAAAAACTAGTGGTAAAATGATTTCAAAGCTGTACTGTTATAGCCAGACAAAATATGAATCATTGTCAACAAAACTGAAGACTTTTCAGATGTTCAGTGGCTCAGACATTTTTCTTCTCCTGCACTATTTCTGGAGAAGTTGCTTGAAGATGTTCTACAAGGAAATGGAGATGAGATACATGTAGGCAGAGTATGTAGGCTATGAGGGGGGAGATGAAACTCAGAAAAAATGAAGAGTATTTAGAAACTCTCTGGGGAGAAAAAAATCCACATCCTGAAGCCAAGGTCCAAATATGAAGCAAACAAACAGACAAAAATGCTGATGATCTTGAAGAATGAATAGCCTGTAAGAAGGGAGGATCCATTAGATCTGAACTTTGGAATCATTTGGAAATGGGAGAAGGAAATGGAATCCCAGGACGTTGGCCCTGTAGTGATCAATATTACATAGACTAACAATATCAGTGTTCCTTATTTTTAATTTTATTTTTTTGGCGCAGCTTGTGGGATCTTAGTTCTCTGACCTGAGCCCTTGGCAGTGAAAGTGTGGAGTCCTAACTACTGTACCATCTGAGAATTCCCTGTTTTCAATTTTTAAAATCAACATGTAGACAAAGCACAGATTTAAACATGGTGGAGATGGTGTTGGACAGCCCTTAGCAAGAAACCCCTTGGATACCAGTAGAACTCTTGTGGGTTCTTAAAGAGATGAAATCTGACCAGGAAGGATAGTAAGTCTGTGTAATAGTCATGTGGAAGTTTCTTTGTCTTGTAGGGAAGGGTCTGGAGTTAAAAATATTAATGATGTGTTTCTGGCATTAGTGGGAAATAGAAGCCTGCAGGTGAGAAAATTCAAGATTCCTCTGAACTGGTGTGACCCTCACTGATTCTTTAGTGATAAGAAAGGCCCTGGGGAGCTAGGTTCTCCTCCCATCTGCTGTATACTTTGCCCCAATAGCTGGATCATATTCTTTATCAGAGTTAAGAAAATGCTTACTATCATAGTAAATAATGTTTGAGTATTTTATTTTTTGCTAACCTACTAACCAATGGGGTTTTTGATTCCTCACAATAAAAAGTTTCATGTCACATATTAAACTTTGGAACTTCCCTGATGGTCAAGTGACTAAGACTCTGAGCCCACAATGCAGGGGTCCAGGTTCCATCCCTGATTGGGGAACTAGATTCCACATATCTCAACTAAGGCCTGGCACAGCCAAATATATAAAAATAAATAATAAATATTAAACATTATCAAGTTACTAACAGTTGTCCTTTTAAGAAATATACTCATTACCCAAATAGTACTTGTTCATTATAAAATTGAAAGATGCATATAGAGAAAAAAAAATTCATTTATAATCTACTCCTGTAGATTTGCTTCTTTCCACTGCTGTTTGTTGATCATTATGGAGAGTTTGTTAAGAATCCACATTTCTGGTTTCTAATCTAGAGCTGCTGGGTCAAAGTTTCCCAATGTGAAGGCTGAGAATCTGTGTTTTAAAAATTCTGGTGCAACAAGTTCACTAATTTGAAGCCCACAAATCTAGATAGAACCACTGTTAATTTGGTAGATTCTACCATTTTCTCTGTTTGCAAGTAATTTTATTTATTTTTATAAAAATTTGAGATACTATTGTGTAGTACAACAGAACCACAATCCCAATTAAGCCAAGTTTATTGTTTCATAATCGAAAATTCTAAGGTTGGTTCTAACTTGGAGAACTACTCAATCCAGGGCATATGATAACCCTTACCATCTTTAACTTTTTTTTGAACGTTCAGGCCCTTTTCTGCCTTAACGACTCAAGGAAGAAAAAGTACAGGAATCGTTCTTATTAGTCCATCTTTGATGATGTGCCAAGCGAATGAGGAACTTAAAATTTGGTCTGAGTCACTTCTTTGGCCTACATGGGTTGGAGTCAGCACCACTTGAAACACATGGAGTTGTTTTCCTACGAGAAAGGGAAATTGTGTTAGTGGAAGAAAGCAGGGATGGACATGTGCTAATAAGACAAAAATAACGTTTATGCAACACACTACGCAGATGGTACTGCTTCCTGCTGCTTCCACCTAATATTGTGTCCTCATCACTTTTTCATGTCATCAAGTATTCTTTGAAAACTTGATATCTTAGTACCACTTAATATTCTACTTAATATGAACAGTGTTAGTTATCTGTTGCCGCAGTACGAATTAACCCAGAATTTAGCAGCTTAGAACAACAAACTTAACATCTCACAAAGTGTCTGAGGGCTTCCCTGGTGGCTGTTGGTAAAGAATCTACCTGTAATGCAGAGGAGACCTGGGTTCCATCCCTGGGTTGGGACGATCCCCTGGAGGAAGGCATGGCAACACACTCCAGTATTCTTGCCTGGAGAATCCCATGGACAGAGGAGCCTGGCGGGCTACAGTCCATGGGGTCACACAGAGTCAGACACGACTGAAGTGACCAAGCAGCAACAGCAGTGGAGTGTCTGGATGTCAGGAATCTTTGAGTGGCTCAGTTGGGTAGGTCTGGCCCATGGTCTGTCAGGAGGCTGCAGGCAAGCTGTGAGCTGCAGCTCCAGCCATCGAGCACTTGATGGAAGCTCCTCTTCCAAGCTCAGTCACATGGCTATTGGCCGCAGAGTGACCTAAAAGAGAGAGGGGTGGAGAGGAAGACAGGTAATGCACCCTTCCCAGGACTCTCCCTCTTCCTTGTCTCACTCTCAGATCACGTGCTCCTGCTTCTGGCATAATCTCTGAGATAGACTCCTTCTGTCTGGTGCTTAACTCAAGCTCTGATTTCAAGAGCTGCTGCTGCTGCTAAGTCGCTTCAGTCCAACTCTGTGCGACCCCATAGACAGCAGCCCACCAGGCCCGTCTGTCCCTGGGATTCTCCAGGCAAGAGTACTGGAGTGGGTTGCCATTTCCTTCTCCAGATTTCAAGAGAATTCTAAATAAATCAGCAGGGTTTTATAATTACATAGCAATCATTCTGTTGAATTAAACTGTGAAGTCCCAGGAAAGACCAAGAACTCTGCTATTCTGTGAAATATGCGGGACATGGTATACATTCTTTCTCTTACTGTGCTTTTCTGATTAAGAACCATCATTTCCTTGTTTCCTTTACTAAACACATTACAGCAAGTTGCCTAATAAATGCTATTGGAAAACTTTGCTTTTCAGATAGGAGTTTTTTAAAGCTACATATTAAAAAATTTGCAAGGGTTTTTTCCTCCAAGAAAAAGTAAGTAGCTTAGATCTACCATATGTAGCCTCTTCTCTTGAGAAATGGCCTCTAGCTCCTTTGGCAGGCAGGGTTATTAGCAAAAGAGATACTGCTATATAAACAGGGAGGGTTTACCCTGACTTCAGTCCTCATTGGCCAGATGTAGAACATGCCAAAGCCACTACTCAGTACAGTTTCCAACTTGCTGATGTATCAATGAGATACAAAGAACAATCTGACATCTCCTGGGCTGACCATGAACCAACCGCTGCCGCTTCATGTAGAATCCAATTGCTTGGGAAATGGCTTCAAAACAAATCTCAATTACCCAGGGAAATGGGCGGAGGGGATAGATGACGTCTGTTCCATCAATGCCCCTCATCCTCTTTGTACATGTTTTTACAAACTATGGCTATACCTGACTTTATGCAATAGAGACCTATGTGAAAAAAAATTGAGTACAACATGTTATCACCGTTTAAAATCACCAGGTGGCTCTAGTGGTAAAGACCCCACCCCTTACGCAGAGGACGTAAGAGAAGTGGGTTCGATCCCTGGGTGGGGAAGATCCCCTGGAGAAGCAAATGGCAACCCACTCCAGTATTCTTGCCTGGAGAATCCCATGGACAGAGGAGCCTGGTGGGCTATCGTCCGTAGGGGCACAAAGGGTTGGACATGACTGAGGTGACCTAGCACACACACACATATCACTAAACTCAAATTGTACACTTTAATTATGCACAGACTTTTCTATGTATAAAATTTTTTAAAAAATCACTATTAAAAATGGAGGAGGAGGAGGATGTACATCTACTCATGCAGAGACAGGATAGTTTCAGATTTAGATTTTATCCTTATTAAAATTCTTGACATTCAAAAAGGATGCTAGCCAGCTTCCCAGAACAGCTGTTGATTAAAACATTTGTGTCAGAACAGAGCATATAATTCCCAAGGGATTTGGTACAACCACAACTATAAATTTACTGTTACTCAATGTATATTAAAAGGTTAAGGTGAGATCCATATGAAAAGGCTAATTTTTAAACAGAATATTTTGGTGAAGTGAGGAATACTTCTATCATGTAAGGAACCACTCTGATTTATGTTTGCAATTTTAAAATATTGGATTACCTGGTGAGTCAAAAAGTACCTATGTAACTAAAATGAATTGACATAATTTTAGCTAAATGCAAAAAAACCTTGGGAGTCTAGTAAGTGTTTGTAGTATTAGAGTAGGCAAATGAAGATATAGTGGTTTTTTTTTTTTTGAAGTACAGTCTTAAATATCTCAGACCTTTTTTTTTTTTTTACTACATTCAAAGGAGCCGCCAGTAAAGGAGCCTTTAGTAGCTGAAGACCCCAGGTTAAGGCTCACTGGTTTGGATCATGTTTCTATTGCTTAAAAGTCTCTCTGGGTCATTTGGTGCCAATCAAGTCTAGGGCCCTGGTAATCCAAAATTATCACCCTTCCAATGCCTGACTCTCCAGCAACCTAAGATCATAAAGTAGTCTCAGAGGGCAGGCCCTGACCACTGGGAGATGAGTTCATAGCTAAGTCCATACCAGAGGTAACTCTTTACTAGCAGATTCTGCAGAGAAAATGTTTGATAAGGATTTTTAGATTGAAGTTCTGCTTTGTGAGGTCAGAGTTGGCCTGTCTGCTGCACCTGCCTGTGCTGG